TTAGTTCGTTGGACGTCAACTTTCCATTGGCAGCAATGGAGAAAAGATAGAAAAAGGCTTGGTACCAGGAAACCGCTCTGTATTTCTTAATACCTAGTCTCGTGCCCCGCCCCTTCGCTTTTTGAGGAAGGGTCTGGGGACACTCAAGGCTTTTTTGTTGCCTTGCGCTGGAATGTTGGCGCACCAATCAAATTGCTCCAACCACATGGTACAACCGCAAACTTGTTAATATCACATGATATAATTTTAATAAAATGGCCTCTAGAAGATAGGTAGAATTTGAAGGAGTTTAATGAGGTCTGAGGTTCAAAGAGAAGTCAAGAAGGAACAGAAATGGGTCTCACAAAGTCTGTTATCGATGATTAAGATAATTTTTTGTGCCTGCTGACAGGATTTAGTGCCAAACAAAATGTCGATCACTACTGTGGCTCAGTACTGTTATGTCCTCTGGAAAATAAGTTCTGGAACAGAAAGACTCTTCCTTAGTCCCCTGGTTAATGAGTTAAGCTAGCAAGTTTGCCTCTTGATGAGCAACAAGTTAAGAAATGGTCAGTTCACCTATGATTGTTATCTAATACTTACTCGAATATTTATGCTTGTGCAGTGCTATAGGAGTACATACTGTTATGGAACTTGGGGAACTACTTCTACCTCATCTGCAAATGATGTCTGTAATAGCCATGGCGCTTACAGCATTCTTATTACTATCATTATATAATTATACAATTTTAGTCAATTTTTGCATTATTAAACATACTATCATACTGTTTTGATCTGATAACAAAATGCATTTAATAAGTAGAAGAAGAATGAAAAAAAAACAAAACAAATTAATCATAATAACTGATTTGAAATGAGTTTTAGCTATGATTCCTTCTTAATACTTCTGGTAGCCATGTTCTGGGGGCGTGTCTATCACATGAAATTAACACGTGGATGCATCCGGTCATATGATCAGCTGCACTAATTACATTCCAGCATGCAACAAAAAAGCCTTGAGTGTCTCCAGACCCTTCCTCCTAAAGCGAAGGGGCGGGGTACGAGACTAGATTTAAATATAAGCTTATTTGTTTCTGACAGGCATAGCCAGATAACTACATGGATGAGAGAAGAGGTACCAGAAATAAAACACAAGTTTGATGTATAGCATATTGCAAAAGGTTTGTTTAGCACTTATCAATCACAACACAATATATTCTGCATAGGATTAAAGAAAAAACTTGATAAGTTGTCTAAAGAAAAAGACTGTGAAATTGTACGAGAGTGGGCCCGAAGCATGGTTAACCATTTATATTGGTCAATCATGTCTACTGCTACAGATAACCCCGACTTGATTAAAAATAAATGGTTGTCAGAATATAATCCCTTCCATAATATACACAGAGGACATGGCAAACTGTTCAAGCACTGTCAACATTGCATGTTGAGAAAAAGAAAGTGGATTAAGAAAGGTTAATCAAGCATCACATTAAAAATAGCATAATTGATATTTCACATGTATTCCTTTCCTTTCGTAGGTACCAAAGTTAGCAGCCAATTGGAAGCATTAATCAAAAACCAATATCTATTAAAAAGCATTATTAATGGCTCCATTTCTTACCAAACATCAAAACAAGAGGCATTTCACAGTTTGGTAAATTATTTTGCCCCAAAGCATACTGCTTTTTCATTTAAAGGAATGATATTAAGGTTAGCAACAAATTCACTCACAGTAAATATTACACATACGCAAGTTGCAAATATCTGCTCTTCATTTCAATGAAAATTCAAACAAGCAACATGCAAAAACTAAAAGAGATCAGAAGAAATTTAGCATGTCTTTTCCAAAGTACAAAAAGGGTGGTCACATGTCAGAAGAATAAAGAAAGCTAACACATATAGTAAGGGATACAATTAATATGTCTTTTTATTTGTTATTTGTAGAGTATGCAAATGACGTACTATATCAAGTTCTTCAACTTAATGAAACGGGGACGTCAACAAGTGATAGTGAAGATATTGACATACCAGCACCTTTAGTGGCACAATATGAAAAACTAGACAAACATGATGCTATAGATAACCACACTAGTAGATTTAATAATACATACCTTTTAACAATTCATAACTGAAAATCATCATAATCAGATGAATGGGAAGGAAATGTTTGCCTTATCTTGACAACAGAGCATGATGGTAATATGACACGTACATATCTTCCCAAGTATTGCCAACACCATCTAGTTAGCTGCCTGTATGCATTGTGTCATAATTTTCTGATAAAATAGTATATAGTTATAAATAGGCGTTCCAATATAGTTGCTTACTCATGTAATGGTATATGATAATAATGAGTGTAGTGTTGTCTGAAGGAGCAGAAAGCAGCCTGTAACACCCATCTGTCCAAGCAGACAGTATTAAAACCAGGGTGTAAAGTAATACATGGTGGCAGTTGTGATGTAGCAAATTCATTAAGTTCAGCTGCGGCAGCAGAAATTTCCTTACAGCAGACACACTCTGCAACTTGAGACATTATTTGACAATGCCTACATAGACACCTATATAATTATGGTGATATTTAAGTGTTTGAACTAAAACCATTACCAATTTCTATTCAACAGTCTGTTTTCTGGATCTGAATCTTCAGATTCACTGCTACAAGAAGTAGAGCTGCTGTCATTCTCTGGCTCATACATGTGGGGTTGAATATGATCTAATAAGTCTGTCACTATCAGTCTCATTGTGTAAAGACTGTGTATCTGGGTCTGAATGCTGGCTTTCATGGCTATCATTTTCACTTGATCCCATTGCTGACTATGTCTGTTCCCCATGCTATGTCATCGCGAAACCACGCCCACTACCGGAAGTGCTATATCATGCAGCCAAATGTTGCAAACTTTGGCAAGGTTTTTATGCAAATGAGAACACATTTGCAACTAAAATTATTTTTGCAAGTAATAACTACCGAAGTATGATTTTTAATAATAATTGATTTTTGGCAGAACTTACCCTTTAAAAATTATTGTTTAGCCAATACAATTGGTACCAAAGTGAGAAATGAAAATGAGCCTCCAAGTACTCCTAACAATCAACCGCAA